CCCCCCCCCCCCATCAAATGCCACTTCTTTTGCACAAGGTTGTTAGAATATGAATTAGAACCTTTTTGTTAACAGGTAACCCTATCTGAAATAGGCGTCAAGTACACAACACAGGAAACGCATGCTCAATTAATGTTATTTATTGTGGGTTTTTCTTTTCTGAACTGACAAAGAGGGTTTCCCAGAGATCCGTAACACGACACAATGTTATACACCATTTCACAACTAGTCCCTTGTTGTTTTATTAAGAACATAGTCATTTAAAAATATCTAAATATTTACATATTAATAAAACATATATACAGAAGATTGAGACGTTTTACCTAAATATGGAATGATTTTTCTCTCTAATAAACCCTATAAAAAGATTTCCGAAGAAAGTCTGAACAGTAGTCACAGTAAGTAAACACAAATGCAATCTCAAAATTTACAAAATGCTGATTCTGCCGTGTTAGCATTCTGCTCTGGACTGGACCAACTCGCCGCATGGACCTTGCGGCTCCCTGCCACTCTCCTCGGAGCACAGGGATTACAAGGCATAGGGGAAGTGGCCACACCAGCCTTTGAAGGAAATGCTCTTTTAAGGTCTGCAGTGCACATTCAATATATTCCACAGTTTTACAGAGAACATTGTTGCCTTTAACAATACATTTTTAAATAGGCGGGGAATGCTTGACGGTCTCATTTTCAAAAGGTGCCGAGAGAACCTGCAGTTCCTGAAGGCTTCAGTGTTATTTGTGGGCATTCAGGATGTCTGACGCTCAGGCCTGTTTGTCAATGAATGTTCAGAAGAAATAGTTTCCTTTAGAGAAGCCGCCAAAAAACCTTAAAATATTTTGGAAAAAAAAAAAATCCCACTTCCTGTAATAGCACTTCAGTTAAAAACACCCATAAAAAGGCCAAATGGTTTCAAGGAGAAAGCTTTATGATAGGCCTCAAATATATTAAGGAAAACAAAATAGTGGCAAAAGCTTCAGCAATCTGTCTGCTGAGTTCCAGGAGATGCATTGTCTTAGTTAATTGGCCAGGGATCAATATATTCTGCCGGGTAAGAACCTTCCTATAGGTTTTCCCCCCTATCTTTTTTAAAGTGAATTTAGTGCTAGTGAAAGATGGAGAGTTATAGGCTGCCCTGAGGGCGACATGAGCTATTGCCTCCTCCCTCACCTGAAGGAACCACTTCTCTCTCTGAGAGGGTAGTTCAATCTCTGGCTTGATTCGCTCATCCTAACTGCTGAGACTGTCAACAGAGTGCCAGTCTGGATGGAGGTTTTCGTAGGTGGCCTCTGGTCTGCAAGAGCTGTGGTTCTCAAACCATGGTCTGTGCAGAGGGTGGTGGTCCCTTTCCTGGTGGTCTGCAAAATAAAACATTTTGAGATCCTTACAGTGAGGGATTTGGAGAGGCTGGGGGAAGGTGGGGAGAGAAGGATTTTCTGAAATAGTTTGCAAAATGAAACGGCTTGGCAAGCTGCCTCACTCGGATCTGGGCTTGGGAGTGTCACAAATGCCTTGTAAATATCACCGCAGTAGGAAATGGACGTTATCAGCTTGCACTCTGCTTTCACCTCCATATGGCTACATTCATTAAGTGCCTCCTACGCTAGACGGTGTACGACTGGAAGTTTGTACCATTTTTCTTCAGAGAAACAGCACTCAAAATTGAAAAGTGGGTCTTCAGAACCAAAAGGACTAACCAATTTGCCTAACCAACCACTTCTATTAGCTTCCTTGACCCATGAAGAAGAGAGATACCATCATAACTCCCTTGGGTGGGAAGAGGGTCATCCATCTGTGTTCTTTCGCTTCTGTATAATTTAAGATGAAATATGCTCAGCATGCATACAATCATGGAGGAAAATCAAAGGCAAGGGAATTCATCCAGCAGCAGTGGATACCACACTAGTTAGGAAATATACTTCATACTGAGCAACTCATTTCTAGTTAAGATGCAAAAAAAAAAAAATCTTGAAACAATTTGGTGCCTTTATCGTTCCATGTCACGTAGCAAGTATGTGAAACAACTCGGACTCGAAGAGAGAACAGCAGAGGACATCCACACCTTGCAGCAGACTGAAACGCTCACACCCATCTTGCAGGAACGCCATTCAAACTGGAGGATGTTTGTGTCTGCTAATGAAACACTGATGTAGGAAGTAAAATTTAAGCAGAAAAGTCTGCTTTTGTGTCTACCAGGTTATCTGTTGGGGTCTCAAAAATGTTACCTGAAGAAAGAGAGGATTGAAAGAAATTAGAGGGCGGGGGAGGAAAAAAGAACCAACCGAATTAGTTCAGTCATTTCCCAAAATTGTGTTAGAAATTAATCTAGTTGAGTTAGGAGTTAAAGGCTCAAACACATTATCTATGGGGCTGGAAAAGTGCTGGTGTGCATGTTTAGGTGGCCATTGTTGGGTATCACTTAGAGCAGTTTAGTTGTCTAAAAAGCAAATAAAAAGAGCCTATTATATAGAGAGTTTTTGAATAGAGGTCTGGATAGCAAAATGCAGAACACATGAATTCAGAGGCTGCATTAGAATATCGTACAAACTGCACTACAATGCTTGCTGCTTTGAAGTTACACAGTTCTAAAGAGGGGAACAAAGCACCGCATGAATTTTAAGCCTACAATATGTACTTTGGGCCGTCCTTTCGAAAACTTGAAAAATCCCGTTACTCTAAATGCATATATGGCAGAATAAAAACCAAAGATAAGTTGTATGATTATATCCCATCTTTTTTTAAACCACTTTAAGAATTTTTTTCCCCAAACAGAACAATGGAAGATGGACAGAAGAATTACAACTATAGAAGTAAGAACACAGGGCACATAGAAGACAGACATCAATCAGTGTAAGAGGCAAATACAACCAGATGAAAAGGGAAGACTAGTACAATCATGCACTGAAAGGATAAAGATTTATATTACAATAAAGGATTTATATTTAAGGTTTCGAAGAGGGTTTTTTTTTTTTTTTTTTAGGTATCATTTTCTTCATATTGTATTCGGAAAGAAAAGAAGGCAACCCATATAGAATTGGCATATTGCTGTTTCCTTATCATCTGTTTCTTTACCAAGAAGAAATTGTTCTCATCTTTTCACAAAGCCGTATCACTCCAGGACCCATGGACTGGGATTTTGCTGTTCTGCTCCCCTTAGTGGTCTCAAATTCTTTCACATCCTGAAAATCACCCTATTTTGAGGAGCTATGCAAACTCTTCAGCACTGCTTAAGCCCAAAGCCCAGGGCTTAAGGAAGACCCTCTAGTGGTCCTGGCTTGTATACATCCTTAGCGTGTAATATTTAAGCTGAAGATACACAAATTCTGCTAATGGTACTGGAATGAATTTGTTTCTGCATTGGGTGTACCAGGAAAAGGCTTTATTCTTCACAAAATTCAGCTGTTCAGTGTAAACTGTATGCCAAGGTGAGAAGTCTTCTGTCATGACTGCTATTTCCCCCCAAGCACTAAAAGTCTGAGGGAGAGCCACATCCACTTAGCTCAGTGTTTAGCCAGCATCTCTGAATCTTCCGAGTCTAATCAGTGTCACTGAAATACAGTACCAACCACCGCAACTGACTGCTCCGCAATAATTTGCTGGGGCTGCTAGTCCTTTCTCACTACAGGTCTAGCAAGAATGAGTTTTTGCAAAACCTCAGATAGATAGTTGTTTGAGTATTTTCTTTGGGACTTTAATGGACAAAGTTTGAAATAAAAGCAAAATTTTGATCGGTTTAATTTCAACAGATGCAATTCTTCTAGCTCAGTTTAATGGCCCCATAACTAATTACATTTTATAAACCCAAAGAGCATAATTAACATCAAAGTGGCTTTCAAGCTGTGGCATGGATCTGGGCACTTAAACAGCAGAATATTCATTTTCTTGGGTTAAGGATTTAAACTTAATGAAAACAATAAAATCTCTGGATGCTGCCTTAGTGGTACCGAGTCCAGGATCAGCCATGGCTCGCGGCTGTCAGATCTAAGCCTGTCTGTGTACTGAAATTCCTCACTCTGCATCCCCAAAATAACCAGATTTATCCTATATATATGTTATAGGATAACATATATTCTCTCTCTCTCTCTCTCTCTCTCTCTCTCTCTATATATATATATACACACACACACACACACACACACACACACACACACATCTATATAGATATATCCATCTATATATATGTTGCTATGCATACAGAATGACTTGAGAGAGATTTGTCTCTACAGATACATTAAAGATATTGGAGATTTCCATTTTTACAATATTACTTCCCATTAGTTGACCATTGTTCTGGACTTGTATGTGTTTTAACTTGGTTCAATTCTTGAATACCAAAGTTACAAGCACACTGTATATACACACCATAAAGAAACCAAGCAGCACTCCATCTGTTTCCCCATGACAGATCCTGCAAAACTCCCTTCAGGGAATCCCAATCAATATGGCCAAAGGTTTTTTCCTACATTAAGGAGCACTTACATATTAGTGTTGTCATTGTTTTGGATTAACTATTTGTCTTAAGAGAATTCCTAGAGATCCCAAAAGAGACCAAGACCCCAATGTACCAGGGACCCCACTGTAGTAGGAGAGAAACTTTTTCCTAACGCTCTTGCAATCTAAAAAGGGACAAGATGCCCGATGTAACTGCCACTTACATCACTGAGTGAAACCAGTCATGGGAAGAAGAGATCTAATCTGTAGGTAAAGACTGTTGTAAAAGTTATTTTCCATCTGCTTTAAAAGAATCCCCTATGGAAGACATCTGTGTTTTGGCTCTTTTCTATAAAACTGCTGTCATTACACTGCCTGTATATCACTTAAAAATTATTTGCTCCAAAGAATGGTGTAATATTAGCTATTAGTACATTCTATAAAGGGGTGCCTGTATATATATGACAATGGATGTGAATCTAATGCTTGGCTTAATGTCTGGGCAGTTCATTTCCCCCCTCAAAACTGAACAATAAAATGAGTATTGAAGGCTTTTACCTCCGCATCCTTTCAAAGGCAACAGGGTGAAATACACACCAGAAGATGAATAGTAAAACTGAGAAATGTGTGCATGCATATGTTGAACAGCGCATGCACACATCCAAAAACATTGGCCAGAAGGTTTATATAAAAGAGGAGAGGACTCCCCAGCCAGATGTGCTATCTCCTCGCATCATATTCATTTTTAGCAAGACCATCAAGTGAGAAGTAGACGCTAATAAAATAACTCTGGGCCTGACTACAAATCCAAGAACAATGATAACACTGCAAGATATTACCAACATTTAGTAGGGTTCCTCGCCACCAGAATTGCTTCCATCCTTGATAAAGGCAACAAACAGGACGTCACTTGGAAGAGACCTCTGAGTCCAGAGTTTCCTGCATCTATCATTACAATAGCACCACAAAACATTCAGCTGTTTGCCAAGAAAACAGCACAGCAACTCCTGTCACAGTTTGCTCCCAGCCCCCACTGGGCCAAAGCCAGAACAAGACTGTAGCTGCCTGTCCTTGCAACTGCTTCCCTGGTCCTACTCCTTAGTAACTGCACGTGCTCCAACATCAGGATTTCAATCAACACGGCTCCACCGCTGGCAGCTGGTGCTCTAACCCGTAGCATTACAGCAACGATGACACATGAAGTCCCTTTTGTAAGAGGGGCTGAGAGGATATGGGACAAATGCCACTCTCATGACCACTGAGCATGTGAGGGTGCCATAACAATACCATGGGGAGTTGCAGCCACAGTACTGCCCAGTTGTCATATACAGGCTACCAGTCAATGGCCAATACTTGGTCTACAAAGGTTTTACATATAATCTCTAATTAACCCTTTAATTCAGTAACATTAATTATATTGAATTGGTCTGAGGGGAAAAAACTGTCTACCCAAAAGCCTGAGTATTTGATGATTCAAGATTTCCCTTCATTTTTCTTGGCTCTAGCAATATTAAGCTACATCGTGGTAAAATTCTAAGTCATAAATAAATCATGAGCAGGGATCTGGGTTTTTTGTTTGCTGCAGCAAAATGCAGATTTTGTTTTTTAAAGGAGAAAAACCTGGGAAACCGCGGGTTTCTCTTTGCAGGCTGGCATGGTTCCAGCCTGCAAGAGGCTGCCTGGGTCTGGGGGGAGCAGGACGCAAGGGGCGCCATGTGCACGTGCACACACACACATGCATGTGGCCGTCACGCAGTGGGGTGAGCAGCTCCCTTGGCTCCCTCCAGGTAAGTCTATGGCGACAGGACCCACAGATGCACATACCTTCCCCCCCCCAACAGATTTTCTGCACCCACAACAGGCCATGGGGCTGCAGCCTGGCAGGACCAGCTCCAGGCAGGAGCTGCCTGTTCAGCCCAGTGGGTGGGACCTGGAACAGGAGAGAACACTGGGCTGCCAAGGTCAGGCACCCCCTGTCTGCCTGGCAGCAGCAGGGGGCACAACTCCACCCTGCTGCCATGCCTCACTTTGGTGGCTATGGCAGCATGGCACTCCCTCCTGCACCAGGTCTTATCCATTGGGCCGGCCACACTACAGACCCACGTCCTACCGTGGGCACAGAAATCTAGGGAGGCACATGTACCACCCTGACACGTCAGTCAGCGGTGAAGGGCACCGGCAGGGCCAGGGGGCTGCAGGTTGGGAGTGAGGAGCTCCAGAAGAGCTGGAGACGGTGGGGGAGAGAATTTTGGATTTTTAAACAGAGAAAACCAGGACTCCTGACCATGACGTAGTCAAGAATTCTTTAACAGGAAAAAAAAAAAGCTAGGGATGTTGGATGCCCAAATAATGAGATCCCAAACTGAACAGAATGGCCACATTTTCAGGGGACTGGTGGCTCAGTGCTGTCTAGCAATCTGGCTCTTGCAACACGGTTCAAGTTTTACCTTCAAAATCTTGAGAAAATCTTGGCCTACTTACTTGCATTTCAGCATATGGAAATCACCTTCATTTTCTAGCCTAAATCCTGGCATCTCATTGCTGTTTGCCATTAAAGAACTGTTACGCTTTGAGTTGGGGGAGGCTGAGTTTCCTCAAGGAGCGGGGTAAAGCAATCTTTACATATCAGATAAAGGGCTTTGCAATCCTTTTGTAAACCCAAGATATGCTAGTTGATAGTACACCTACGCACAATTGAAAAAAAATAGTACAATGCAAATTGCTATGCCTGTCCTTGCAACTAATTGTGTCAAGCATATTGACAATGCACAGAAAATACTGTGTATGAGCACAAGTCTCTATCTGGAGTCAGACAGGTCATCCTCTGGCCTGCCTAGCTCAGCTGTTACTCTGAAAACTGTGGTTTTATGAATATGAAATAAAGAGAAAAATTGTGAGATTCTGGGACATTATATCTAATGTGAAAATTATCTTTTTTTTTCCCCCTCTGAGTGTATGTAGGGCACTCAAAACTCAGATAGCTAGGCCCAGCATGCAATTACCACACAGTGTATGCCATACCAGGATTATTGAAAATGGCTTCTGTGCCATAAATAAATAAATAAAAATATTGCAAGCTGATAAAAATTTTAATGCATTTTACCTGTTTGTAGTAGAGAAATGTCCGGTTTCTCATCACAGTCAGTTGCCTCAGCTGATTACAAACATAAGCAAGAAATCTCATTATTTTCGCTGAATATTGGAATACGATTAAAAAGTGCATTGTAAAATGATTTTGCATTTTCTATCTACTTTCCTCGGTGGCAATTTGCTGGCATCCAGTTAAACAGTTACTGTTTGAAGAAAAAGGTCATATAATAACAATGCAAACTTAGGGAAGGGAGTTTGGTTATTAATATGTAGTGGTGTCGGGCAATACACTACTCCCCTGGAAAACCCAGAAAGTCCTGCTGATACAGGAAGCTGACAATCAAGTTGTAAATTTGACATAAGAAATGCCATCTATCAGCTCCGATACAGAGTTACAGATACTGTAATACATCTAAAGGCAGAGGGGTAAGCAGCTAGAGAGATTTACAAAAGCACCAGCCTTGAATAAAGCATCTAATGGCTATTAGGTGCACGACTCACTCAAATGCTCACTTATCTATACCTTTAGGCACCTTAAAGTCCAGATTTAAGAAAGCATTTAGGTGCTGAAACATGCATTCAGACACCTCATGGGATTTTCAAAAGCACCCGAGTGAGTTAGGAAACAACCTAACTCTTGTTAGATGCCTAACTCACTGCTCTCATAAATCCCACTAGGTGTTCAGCTGCATCTTTGGGTACTTAAATATATTTCTAAATCTGGCTCTTAGCTGTTGGTTTATGTCCCAAAGCATGAAGATTAACAAGGTTGATTGAAATCTCACTACTGTCAATAACTTTTTCCAGCAACAGCAGCAGTGTATTTTTATTCCATCTAATGTACCTATGGATGATCTTGTTATCTCTATAATCCCTAAATCTTACTTGAACCTGTCTAAGATTTTAGCATCTATTGGAAATAAGTTTCACAGTAACAATGTGTTGTAGAAAAAAAAAAGTAGTTTCTTTTATCAGCTTTCCATTTGTTGCCTTTCAGATTCAGTGAACACTTCCTGGTTGAGGCAAGAGAGATAGTTAGCCATGCTACAGTCCATTTCGTAGCATCTGAGGAAGTAGGCTGCTGCCTGCAAAACCTTGTGCCTCTCTGAACCAGTTAATCTCTAAGGTGCCACCCTGCTCTGCCTTCTGTCTTGTTATTAGGAAGCAAATAAGAGCTTCAAATTACCTTCTTTATGTTATTATGCTGCATGCCATCTCTTATTTTATTTTATATATACATATACCTTTATATATAAGCCAATATACATATACCTTTATATATAAGCCAATATACATCAGTGTATTATATGCATCTGAAATATACACGTTTTACTTTTATAAACATACATTATACTTTTTATATATATTTAGAGACTATCATGATCATAAAGGAACAGAAAATTCCCATTAGGTTGGGCCCTGACTTTGTAGGCAAAGCAATATGGACTGGGAAACTAAATTCAGCTAATGCTTTTAATTGGCCCCCTTGTGCTGATCACCTTTCTCAGGGCCCTGAGCGCAGGGGTTTCTTGCTGTTGTGTGTGTGAGCCGACTCTCCTGTCCTACTTCTTGGCAGAATGTGGAGCTCCAGAGCAGAAACAAATGGTGCTCAGTCAAAACAGTTCAGCTGAGAAAAAGTCCTATCATTTGGGAGGCAGGGATGACTCAATACACAGGTAATAGGATACGCAGTTTTTTATCTCTAGGCTACTAGTTCAAATCCAGGCTCAACTGGCAGTAATGGAAATGCATTACTACTTGGTGAGCGAGGTAGGAGATAAAGCTGTGAAATGAATAGCTTCATGGAAACCCTGGTGACATACCTGGCTGGTATAATAATCCAGGCCAGTTCCTAGGGGACAAGTGCCCAGGTTACAAACAAAATAAGGAGCACATTTCCTGAGTGGTATCTTTGCTGGAAGTCTGAGCGATGACATTTGCACCAACAACTGAGATTAGCAGACCCTTTCATTCTCTACTCATGGTCACCCCAAGCGGAAACCAATGCCAACTGTAGGATGGGAGGACAGAGGGAAATGGACAGTACCACTGCTGTACACATTTGGTAGCCAAAGAAAGGACTTGAATCTCCAGTTACCAAGGTCATTAAGTATTACTTTTCATAGATACATAGTTTGTAACAGGCTGGAAGGGACCTCGCAAGATCATCAGGTCCAGCCCCCTGCACCAGGCAGGAAAGATAGCTGGGGTCAGGTGACCCCAGCACGATGACCATCCAGTCTCCTCTTGAAGATTTCCAGGGTAGGCGATTGCACCACCTCTGGAGGGAGCTTATTCCATAGTCTGGACATCTTGACCGAAGAAGTCTTTTCTAGTGTTAAGCCCGAAACGGTCTTCCAGGAGTTTCCGGCCTTTACTCCTGGTTTTCCCCAAGGGTGCCCTGGTGAACAGTTGTTTGCTGAGCCCTTGATGTAGTCCCCTGATATAGCGGTAAGCTGCTACCAGGTCCCCTCTCAGCCTTCTCTCTTCCAGGCTGAAGAGTACCAAGTCCCTCAGCCTTTCCTTGTATGGCTTGCCATGCAAGTCTCTGATCATACCAGTTGCTCTTCTCTATCATAGGGGTGGCCCTTCTCCTTGTCTTTTTAAAACCAGGACCCTCTCAGAATTGCCCCAAGATGGCAGATTTCAGTGGAGTCCATAGATGATGTCTCAGATCATCCAAGTTGGGGCTGCACACCCAGCCAAGGTCAAGCTCACAAACTACAAAGACGCCCAGACCGTCCGTACACTGAGGCAGCTCATCATCTTTCCACATTCCATTCCAGACAGGAAAGCACAGTCTGCCTCCAATGACGCGCCCATACGACTGTCGGCCAAATCTAACTTGTCTTGACTTCAATGGGCCAACCTGCATGACAAGACTAGCAGGAATCATTTCCATTGCGGGAATTCTGAAGCTCTTTTGTATCCTCTGCTTAGAAAGTGTTTGGCAACTCTTGTAAACAGTCCTCCAGCCATTTCCTTCAGACTTTTTCCGTTCGAGCTCACGTTACTTCTTCTCAACAGGCATACTTGGTAAATGTGCATCTTCTCTTTTGCTGCTTGGACAGAATCACATGTGCACGCAGAGATGGAGACGTCAGTAGAGAATCCATTTTCGTGCTGCTCTCTCTGTTACCCTTAAATCGAGGCAAGATGCTGCCCAGAAACAACATGCTCCTGGGACTCCCATCCCATGCGCTATCTAACCTTGTGCCTGCTGCTAACACACTAATTTAAATCTGCTCTCTTGCAAGACACAGCTGCCTTGCGCATGAATTGCTCTATGAAGAGAGGACTGTGGAAATTAGAGGGCTGAGGAAGAGGACTAAAATGCACAGAAACAGAAGGGGGAAAACACCCCAAGAAACAAAGAGAAAATGGGGTGAAGGATGGAGTAATTTCAACACTAGGGCGGGAGCGAAGGAACATTCCAGGAAGGATTTATAGGAGATTTTCTCTCCCCACCCTCAGTATTTTCCATTTTAATGAGATGTTTATTTTAAACAATGGTACAATGATGCAACAACTTTCATCCTGTCACACGACTACTAAAAGCCAATCATATCTGAAAAGCTGGAGGACAATTTGTAGGACTGCTGTATTTTCCTTGATTATGCATGGCATTCAAAGGCTTTTGAGTTATGTACAGCATAATCAGTTGTCATGAAGAGCTTACTCCCTTTGTGCTTTTGAAGTGGTAGTTAGACTGTACCTGCATCCCTACCCTGGCCTTAAGCAACAAGCTGCCATTAAAGAATAAGGGCTCACTTCTTCAAGACATGAAAAGGAAAAGAGGGCTTTTTAGTACACAAATTATCTGTGGCACCTGCCCCAAGGTATATTATAGGAAATTAAGTGGAATATTTAGAAGGAGAACAGTTTGGCTATGGAGATGATGGCAACAGCTAATATCTTGATGAGATTAGTCCTCTTTTGATCCATATGCCAGTGGCTGGTCTCTATCAGATACCTACCCAGATTCATCTTTGCAGCATGGAGAAACCTCAGTGTGGGGAGCTGTTCCTATTCAGAGCAGCAGTAAATTACAATATAATGGACACGGCTATTGATACTGCTCAAATAGGGGAGTATATGATGCATTTGTTTTCTCTCAACTTCATTTCCCTCTTTCCTTGGCCGCATAGCAGCTGTGGTCTCAGCTAATGCATTTTGGAGAAGACAGAGCTGGCAATGGGATGCTATATCCCAGAGCATGCAGCACACGTGGGTTTGTTTTTTTTGTGGCTGTCCTGATTATGTGGCCTGGGACCAATCGCTAAGGCTGAGGACTATCATCATTCTATTTAATTTTAATTATAACATCTGTTTGTAACGTTAACCTCACAGGCCTTCTTCCCTTTGTGACAGCCAACTTGTGAAATTTTGAAAGACTGAACAAGGCCAATAAAAATTTAATGGTAGTGACAGCTTTATTCTCAGATCTAACAAATGAAAACAAAAAAAACAAACCCCAAGTCTCAGATCTAAGGCAATAATCTAAAATGAACTGAGAAAAAACCAAAAGTGTAATAAAAATATTTCTAGTTAGGAAGAAATATTGTAGCTGCTACAAAACAAGTGCAATTCTATTTGGATTAGGATAACAACCTTTCAAAACCAACACGGGAATGATTTTCTAGATAGCAGGGTTTTTTTAAAAAGGGGGGTTTGTTGATTAGCTTTTCCCATCAGAGGCTGCTCTGTACCTCATTCTAGGAGATGAGCCAAATATGATAAATAAGGTGGCAGCTGGACAGCATCTACAATCTACTGATCATAATATTTAAGTTGAAAATGCACACTAGGGTAAGGACTAAAGAAAGCAGCACAAAAAGCAGATCCGCCCAATCCATTTGCTGGAATTTTTGGAAACTGGTACTACTACAGAAGACTGGGGGAATACAGTGGGGTTTACATCATTAGACAATCAAATAATAGTTTGGAGGATTCATCACAGAGGCTTACTTGTGAATGTAGCCTATCATTGTGTGGACATAGCTGTCTACCCTGGATTGAAAAAGCCAGGAAGGAGGTAGAGTCAACAACTCAAGGGGTTACTAA